CCCCACAAGTCATCATGTCAATGATCTATTTCAGCTACAACGCCATCTTCACAAGTTTATCTCTCATCACTGAGTGGGATCGGCTTGGAACAGAATTGAAAGGTCTGAGGGTTTCTTCCCATTGCCAAGGAGACCAGCGACAGACATATTTCCTCCAACTCCCCTACCGGTACTCTCTTCCGCTCACTATATTTTCTGGCGGCCTACACTGGCTTATTTCCCAGAGTATTTTTCTGGTGAATATTGAAACGTGGCCTCCTGGAAGGACATCCTACGGTAACATCATGTCCTGTGGGTGGTCACCAATCGGCATTATATGCGTTATTGTGGCAGGCACGATTATGGTTGTCTTTCTTCTTGCGTCGGGGTTTCGTCGTTTGCGCTACGGGGTAATACCAGTGGCGGGCAGTTGCAGTGCTGCAATCTCCGCGGCCTGCCACCCGGCGCTGAATGAGGAGCCAGAGATGTGGACAAAGTCATTGCGTTGGGGTGTGGTGTCTAAGGGCAGCTCTGAGGCTGGCTCTGAGCTGCCACATTGCTCTTTCTCAAGTAGAAAGATCGGCGCCCCCATTGAGGGGGAAAGATACAGATGAGAAAGGGCATAGCGGTCCGTTAAAGTCGAGATTGGGAGAGACATTAATGAGAGAATGCGAATTATTCGGATTGATTTAGCTTGAGAAGTTACATGGCAGGTGGAGGATCACGATTCCGGGATCTAGGAATGAGGCCTTGAGTTTTTGTTTCATCTTGTAATGATAACCGATACGCCTTGAACTTTCGACAACGTGAAGTAGTCTTCAATATACCTAGTTCTTTTATCAACGGGGCGCTTGCTTATTCGGTAAGCGACTATGATGGAGTCAAAATTGTAAGGGGGCTTAGGATACTGAAGGGTGATGCGTACGTTAATCAACAGCCTTTCTCGATAGCCACCTTGGGCTCCTTTGAATAATAACTGGTCCAGTGACATGATGCGGGGACGGTAGATCAACACCCCCGATGGCCGGTTCATGACAGTTTTCGAGGCCCGAATTCAATGTTATCTCGCTGTTCTTGATACGAATTATTAACTTGCTCTGATTCGTCAGGGAAGAGACCGCTTAAACCAGCAGCCGCATAACTTCCGAGAGTTTCAAACTCTGACTCTTGGCCATGATGGCTGAAGTGGAGAAGCCCATTGTCAGGCCTCGCCAAATAGGGGATAGCATAAGGGGCATTGGGATGAGGGCCAAGCAGCAAAGGAGCAGCTCAGGTATATATAGAGCGCTGAGAGTACACTTCGAGGGAAGGGCAGATTTCAGTAATTCATCTTCTAGACCCTAACAGCAGTCGGCCTCTGTGAGCTTCTTCCCTGCGTCGTACACCTATTGACAGCCATATGGACGGCCACTGGCTGTATCGTGTTGATGTGAGCTACGAGGTACGCCTCGGCAGCCCTTGCCCCTGGCAAACCTCAGTCCTGAGTCCTGAATCTCCGGTTCGATTGATGTAGCAAGCGCAACGTACACCGCTTTCTTCTCCTGCGCGTTCATCTACTGGAAGTAGTTCCGGATGCTTCATCTGATTTGTAAGCTGAGATACAAAGCCAGAAAAGAGGCTCGAGCCATTTCTACCTTGTGGATATCCACATTTTGATGTACATCACGCTTGAAGCCTGTGATAGCCTGTCAGGGGAGGGTTGTCTTCATCCAAGTCGCATGTAGCGAAATTGACCCTCCATCACTATGTTTGCAAAACACCCGCGAAAGATTTTCGGTCGCTTGAAATGCCTGTATTTGTGCTAGAGCCTGCCCGCACTATTCTAGCTCTCCACCAATGCGGCTCGGATTTCGGTACCCGGAAAGCTCTTTACATCCAGTAACCCAGTACGCTGAGACTACCAAGTCAACTGCCCCAGTCGGAAACCTAACTGTGATATTATTCCCCTCGTACTCTAGGCAGCAGTTTAAGGCCTTTTCTTACCAATATTTCGCTTCTGATGATGTGGGGATATGGGGTGCGAGTTGCTCGGAGTTCCTCGGATAGTTTCGCGATCAACTATCAATTTCTCATCTGGAAGAGTATGTTCTTCCGTCGGATTGGCAACTCTTCTCTTTAACCCGAAAGAAAAGAACCCGAAAGAAAAGATGGTTTATGAGATTCTTAATCAGTCGAAGTTCAAGATGAACAGATTGAATCCCCGATAACAAAGTTAATCAGATCTTTTGCTCGTATTGCGCCCTTGAACTGAAGTTTTTGGCAAACTCGGGCTAAGCCACACAAGCCGCGTATACAGGGTTGGGTACGCTTCGTGTTCTGTTATCAATCTAACCCACATTTTCAATGGCGCATATTCCCATCCAAAATAAGAGATCTTCCTGATTTGATGGACGAGGCCCTTGGTCTATTATTGATGTGGTTGTTACTCCGCCTTCTCCTTCGGTTCCGTCCCATCATGGTATCACACAGCTGACCAGAGAGCCCATGTCGAGCGAAGAATTCTCCGGATAGGAAAGAAAGTCGTGTGGATGGCCCTCTCCAAAGTCAATTCGGAGCGATCCGAATCAAAAGTCTTGCAACGTAATAGCCTTGTTATCCTTCCCACTAGACCCTTGTTACACGTGTGTCTCCACGCAAAAAGGAGCAGCATACGAGAAGGACCTGGAAGGGATTTACGGTTATTTGTGACTCAAAAACTAGGCCTAAATACTTGACGCAGAGTTTCAACGGGCTGGTGACAGGGATGAATCTCTAAATTCTCCGAAAGAACCAACTTTACAACCAACTTTCATAATGTCTGAACCTATCATAGGTGGGAAATCATGGGTCCTGAGGCCGGCGAGTTATCCCACCTAGAGCCGCTACAAAGCATCGAAGGGCGCTATCGTGGAGAAACACTCGGCAGATGACCGCGCGGATGTCGAGAACACGAGTTCTAATTCAGGCATAGACTAAGACGCCATGTATCGATCTCGAGAACATGGACCGACACCGCGGAAGCTGGGTGATCTATCGTAACAAAGTCTTCGGTGATGATGTGATATAAAGTAGAGAAAGTTCAGGCTCAACAATTTTCTAGAGTATCGACAGAAATCAAATCTACAATGCGCTCCTTTCTCACTATGTATCAGCCGAAAATTCTTTCCTTTGTACTGTCTCCCATCTTCATCAAGACTCTACTTGTCACCGTCATCATTCTTACTTCTATTCGTACGATCTTTCTCTACTATGAGGTGTCTATTACCACAGCTCTCGAACACGCCGCCGCCACCTCGCCTCTTCGACCTTCAAAGGAGGCTGGCTGTCTCCCGCAGCTCTCCCCAGACCTGTCAGAAAACCTTCAACTTCTACAGTCATCATGCCGATCTTCCCTCCACGACCCAAAATCCCACATTCGAATCACCACCGTGACGGCACAATTTGGAAACATTCGAGAACACTATCAGAACGCGTTACAGTCACATGTTCTACATACCACACTTCATGGCAATGGGCTCGAAGTCATGTGTACGCCTGTTGTAGATGACCTATGGAACAAGCCAGCCTATATTTTGTCTCTACTGCTCGATGAGATGCTCAAACTACCAGAAGAACGGACCGAATGGCTCTTCTGGGTCGACCGCGACACGATAATCCTAGACCAATGCCGTCCGATATCGAGCTTCCTTCCACCCCGAATCCTTAATCGAGTTGCTGCCAGCACGAAGGCCCACGAAGCAACTCCGAAAGACGAAGACGTACACCTCATAGCGGCCGACGATTGGAATGGTCTCAACAACGGGGTCTTTCTTCTGCGCGTCGGCCAATGGGCCATCGAGCTCTTCAGCGCCATCATGGCCTTTCGCCACTTTCGACCTGGCACCGAGCTCCGATTCACAGAGCAGAGTGCCATGGAGATACTGATAAAGGAGAAGAGATTCAAGAAGGGGGTGCGAATGGTACCTCAGACCTGGTTCAACTCGTATCCTGGCAGCCTCAAGGCCTCGAACTATCTCGAGGGGAATGACGAAAAGGGGCTCTCGGATTGGCAGACGAGACGCGGCGACTTTCTGATCCATTTTGCTGGATTCGGCGAGGACGACCGTGCCAGAAGTATGAATAGCTGGCTGGACATGCTGGGGAAGACACACTTTACACTGGAAGCTGGGAGGGTGCAGAGGAACGCCACACCGGACATCGAAGCATACTGGGAAGATCTAGAACCGATAGAGATACAATAAGCGCTGGTCTAGGATTGTTGATGGTATGGAGGACCGACATACTTCGTACAACTCGTAATAAAGATTCAACCAACTTTCCTGCAAGTCTTCTGGAACATGTGCTTGTCTTATTACTGTCATCGGAACCATGTTAGTCGCCCCGCATCCCGAATCCGCGCCATCCCAACGAGAATCTGAAGTCTATCTGTCCTATTTCATCTGATGAGGGATTAAGAATTCGCTACTTTAAATAGCGGGTAAGCTTGTTCTGAGCTTATTCTCGTCCTCTATTCTTGTGTGCTGATTTTCTCAGTCGCATCCGTGCACAGGTTACTAACGAGCACATCGCTGCTTACCGAATGACGCATAAAGTTCACCACCGCGAGGTCAACGGTTTCTCGAGTGGTAAGTTCTAGAGAAGACTGCGCTAGGTTTCCCTCTATCGCGTCCAGCGTTGATTAGATTGTAGAGTGGTTGAATACGCGGAAGACGGTACTGGTTTCTAGGGAGAAAGACATTGAGTCCGTTGATCCTCTCCAGTTCTTCATCAAACTGCGAACGCTACGCACATCACCATATTCGATCGCATGCTACTACCAATTACGGATGCGTCCTGGCTCATCATGGCAATTCACTGTCGTGACCACGGATGGTCAATACGGTAAAGGGAGGACACTTAAATAGTTGAGTTGGAGTCATGGTATTTGAAATGCATTAATTCAACGCTATCCTGACTCCAAAATGGACACCAAAGGTGTCGAAGACCAGTATCTAAGTGTCTATATGTATGATTCAACTAGGCGCAGCGGTCCGATCCCCTGCTTAAGCAGAGCAAGTCCACTTGAGGGGGTCGTTGAGGTTGACCGCCTTGGTCTTCTGCTCAGGGCAGATCTCACGGTCCAAACCGCAGTTGGTGGTGCCGCACCAGTTGTTGTTGTTGCACAGCCAGACGCTGTAGCTCCAGACGTGGCGGTCAAAGTCCTTCTTGCAGCGGTTGACCTTGACGTTGTACTTCTGGTCGGGGCCGAACTTGTCCAGGGGGACGTAGGCCCAATTCTCGGTGTTTTGAGCCCACACTATTAGGGAGGTTTTGTTAGAGACTTTGGTTCAATGCAGAATTGCATCCGGCCCAGGGGGTTGGGTAAGGATGGAGGACGAGAATCAAACTTACTTCCAAAGGGACCACCGTTGGAGTTGCAGTGCTGACGGACACCAATCTTGGTGAGACCGGCCTGCGCGGCGGCGGCCTTGACGCCGGCGTCGATGGTGAAGGTGTAGTAGGAGAAGTCCTTCTCGGCGCTCAGAGGGGCCTTGATGCAGGCGGCGCCGGAGGTCTTGGGCACGCGGCGCTCCAGGCCGGTTCCGTGGGCCTCGAGCATCGGGGTGGGGTTGGCGACGACGGCGGAAGCCATAAGCACAGCGGCGGAGAAGAGCTGAGTGATCTGCATGGTTGCGATGGTTCTTAAAGAGAGTGTTGGGCTTTGAAGTTGAAGGTAAGGACTGGAATGCTCTTGGTAAAGACTGGACTGTGGTTTGGATAGTGAGACTATTCATGTTTTCATTCACATACAGGCAGGCTTTCCTTTATAACAATACAACATGACCGCAATGTTGAGCCAAAGGAACTTCGCTCGGAGTAAACCGAGAGTTGAAGAGTGTGGCCGCTTGGCGCCAAGACTCACGGGCACTGAAGAAAAGTGTAGATCAATCTGTAAATTACACCGATCATGGCGGCGAGGCGGTGCGGGTGCACGTACCAAAGCCTGCCAGAACACCTCGTGTCAGTACTCTACTCCGTACTCATGCGGTAGAAGCAGTAGAGACGCCAAATACTCTCAAAAGTTTCGTCAACTATCCGTACTAAAGAACGATCCCTTTGGAAATAAAACCCGTTCCGGCAGCAGAGCTCCAAGACCATCTACTCGTTGCCTCTTGAGCGATAACCCCCAACGTCGAGCAACTCCATTGCAATCGCTTCAAAGTTCCAGTACTCCATAGCCTATCCACAGCACGATAAACTCAAAGATTAAGTAGGTCATGTGGCACGTGCAGTGTGGACTCTAGAGGACATAGAGGTAAGGCTTCAGATGAACGCATGAATGATTGCCAGTGGTGAAATTTGGTCCTACTATATTACAGCTGTTCGGCGTCCCCATAGCTTCCAGAACGGTTGGGCAGTATGTTTGCCAGCTCAGCCAATCAGACACTAGAGACTCGTGCAAACTCGCGCTCGCACCAACTCAGTACCAGTCAGCCTCAACCAGCTAAAACTCGCCGGTTTTATTTTTGACCACAGGGTGATCGACGGCTATCAGGTGTCATGTCAAGCAAAAACCTGACTCAGAGATGAGAAGCTCAAGCCCCCAAGCAACCCTCCCCAATCTCCGGGGTGGGCAGCCCAAGCTTCTAGAAGAGTGAATCCCTTCGCTTGATCCGACGAACGATTTTCCCCAGCGTTGACAACCAACCCCCTTCAACCTTGTTCCCAGACAACAGGGCTTAGAACTCTACTCAGAGACTCTGTCAGCCCTTTTTGCCGCTCTAGCCTCTTCAATCCGAGGCGGAACCAATTGAACCTCTTCCTGGGTGTTCAGATGCTCTATCCGTATGGTACTACTCCATACATCTCGGCGCCCACGCGCCCTGGTCAGCCCTCCCACAAACTGTGGGGTGATCGACAGCTTGAAGTCTGGACCGAATAAACTGCGCCTTTCTCTTGGAGCCGTGAATGACACGAACCAGCCAGTCCCTCTTAGGAAGTGCTATCTGAAAAAAGTGCATAGTTCAACGGCTGAGAATGGATGCCAACTTCGAGTCTCCAGTTTCTCAAAGTGCAGAGGGAAGAGGGGCAGCAGAGACTCACGTCTCCCTCTACCGCCATCACACAAGACGACCAAGTGACAATGTTATTCTCAAACGGCAGCCGATTATTACACATCGTAAACATCAATCACAGTTGCAAGTCGAGTTCATTCCCAATGAGATGATCAAAATTGGGGCAAGTCTAGCAAAGGTTTTGAGCCCAGCCCGACTGAGTCCATGAACACGCTATGATGCTAAAGCCCTCCTCTCGTCACCACCACGAACGCCGCCGATGGACATGAAAGACATTATTACTCGCTCTGATATTACAACCCTTTGAGCCATGAAATGTTTCCCTTCCCATTCCCAAGAACCTTTCTCATGCCCCTTCCTTTTGTTACCAATGCCCAAAAGGACTGATGTACACTTCGCCCAGCGCGTACATGTTCGCGCTGGGATATTCACGAGTTTGCCGTCTGGTGCCGGCGTCAGGCCCCCCTTTCGTCTACTTGAGGGGCCCTGTAGCATATAGGAAAGAGACGTTTGAGGGGTATCATAGAAAAGCAGATGCTTCGGTGTCGAAGGTATAATCATAACGTGCGCTTCATGTGCGTTGGCCGTGTGCCGCGTCATGTCTAAAGTGCCGCTGCAGCAGGCTCAACCAACCGAGACTGGCGTAGCCAGCCATCCGGTGTTTCGCCTCGGTACAATGCTGATGGCGTTCCTTTTGTTCTGAACGATGTTGTGTTTGATTTTGATACAGAGTGGATTGTTTTGTGTGTGTATCTGATATTGACTTTGGTCTCCCTTCCTTTGGACCACTGGCGGTCGTGCAACCGGAACCCTCCAATGCAGTACTTGTAAATAATAGAAGCAATTGTAAAATAGTGATAATGAATGTTTCTTCTTTCGTCGGGGGATGCGGTTCTTCTCTTCTCCATTCTACGCGAATTGTCGACCAATGGCATTTTCCGTTCAACATAACTTTCTCTCGTCGCTCATCCCCTGATAGTGACTTCGCTCGCCTTTGTTCCTTCAGAAGATCAGCTCCCGCTCCTAGCGTCTCTGCCTCTTTTCTCGGTCGTTGGGAAAGCCTGCTGCATCTTCGCTTCGACGCTTTCGGCCCCGATCTTCGCGTCGGTCATCGTTCGGTCGTAGACCTCCCTCGCGAGGTCCTCCTCTGGGCGCGCCCCGCGGATTTCCAGCCCACTCTTCGTTCCTTGGCCCCGTCGCTGCATCTCCACGTCCGCCATCTCCGCGATCGGTCCGATGGCGAGTTTCGCGACTGCTTCCTGCGTTCTCCCGGCTACTGCCGTGGGTAGGGTTCGCATGCGACTCCCTAGTGCTGCCGGACGGCTCTCGACCAGAACGCCGGGATTCACGTTCGTCTCGACCAGTGGATGACTGATTTTGAGCCCCGGACCTCCTCTCCCTGTGCTCACGGGGCTCCTTGCCCTCCCTTTCGCGACCAGGACTGCGTTCTCGTTCACGACTGCTGCGCCTCGAGTGCCGACCACGCTCTGAACGATGCTCGCGACGGCTGCGATCGTGTTCGGTTTGTGAATGATCCTCACCGTTTGCCTGAGCCCTTTCTTGTCCCACAGGGTTCGGACGTTCTTGGACTGGCGTAGACACCGGTGATGCACCTGTCAGAACTTGAGCATCGGAGCCAGCGATACTACCTCTGGCAACCCCACGCCCGCGGATACTTGTGCCTCTGTTGGTCTCAGGCATGTTGGCCTGTGCTTGCTGCAAAGTGCTATTGATACCCGCAAGCTGTCTACGACTGCCGCCGCTGCGACCTCGATCATTCGATGACGGTCCTGATGGTACCCCATCGGTAGGAGCTGGGAAATTGCCTGTCGGTGTTCGGTTGTTGTTACCTTGGCCTCCTGACGGGCGGTCTGGTGTGTTGATAGGGGGCAGTGGCGGCCGAGAGTGACCGTGACTAGGTGGCTGCCCAGGAGGCGGAGGCGGTGGTGGCGCAATCTGTGCCAGTCGATCAGGATGAATACCAGGAGCCAAGGTAGGTCCTCCCGAGGCTGGAGTTGGTGAGCCTGCCGGGCCCGAGTTGATAGCACGTGCGCGATCGGGGTGTGCTGCTGGGGTCGGCGTCATGGCAGACGGAGAGTTGACGGGCGGATTAGACTCGTACTGATTACGACGTCCTCTGCCTGAGGCCGGACCTGTGGGTGGATGCCGTTCTTCAGGCGCCGCCGGGCTGTCTGCATTCGGGAAACGACCATCAGATCGTGAGTTGGGGGTGCCCGCGGATCCACCTCGGGCAGCCGCTCGACCACGACCACGGGGTCCTAGTGGAACCTCGTTCGGGGCAAGTACCGACTGGATTGGGTTCAGACGACCGTAGTTTTGGTCCTGGTGAGCAGTGCGGCTGTGGTCAGGTTCAGAGTTTCGACCAGGACCCAGGAATGCGTCTCTACCCTTGTCTTGGCCAGAACGGTCACCGTCCCTGTCGCCTATCCGTTCTGTTCTGGGGTTATAGGCAGGAGGCTCCGCATGCGTCTCTCTTCCAGAGGATCGATGATCCGAGTGATGGGAGCGGCCGTGTCTGTCATCCCTCGCAGGCTCTGCTGGTGCTTCTGGATTGAATCGCCCGTTTCTTCGCGGCGAATGACCTCGTTGGGAATTTCGGTCTCTGGGCTCATCCCTTGTCGGCCTGGCTGGCGCTTCGGCTTGTGGCTCACCGATCAGGGCAGCACGCTCAGGGTTGATCAATTCAGTACGGTCAGGCTCCGGAGCACGCTGGTCAAGAGTCCGCTGCTCGTGGCTCTGAGTCTCCTGAGTGCGCGGTCCCCGGCCACTCCGCCGGTCTGTCTCTGATGACCGAGACGGGCGGTCTGAGCGGTTAGACCTACCAGGTTGGTCTCCTTGGATCAAGGCCAGGCGAGCAGGGTTGACAGGAGGATCCTCCGCTGGCTTCTGCGTAGGTTGAGATGGCGGGGTGGCGACAGCAGGTTCTCTAGACAGTCTGCCCGATTCAGACACACGTCCATTTGTTGGAGGCACTCTATCTCGGGAGGGACGACCTTCGCGCTCATGGGGCCCGTGATCGCGGCGAGGGGGCAGCGAGTCTGGTCTCGAGGGCCAATCTTTCTCGGAAAGGCGACCAGGTTCTCTAGGTGGAGCATCTGGACCTCTCCTGTCTTGTCCAGAAAAGTCTCGACTGCGGTCGGGCCGCGATGGCTCGGCGAATCTGGGTTCTCTTGAGGGCTCGCGTGGGTCCCTGTGATCTCTGGTATCTCGAGACTCTCTTGTATCCCTAGGACCGCGAGGTTCTCGTGCATCTCTCGGTTCTCGGACCCGGTCTGGCAAAGCGTCAGGAGTGAAATGAGTACGACCGAAATGGCCAGGGATAGGGACGTCTGGTCGCTTGGGCAGGTTGTGCGCACTTCTGTCTGGTCCCGTAGGTGTAGGAGTCGATCTAGGCACATCCCGGTGGTTCATATTGTTCGGCAAGGGCGTTGCATTCGCCGGCTTTGGTGTTGGCGGCTTGCTCGAAGTGGCGGACCCGATGTCGCCACGCGGGAAGCCTCCCTTTGCTGTGTCCGGCTGGGAGGCCGAGGGCTTGGGAGGCAAGTTGGGATCCTTTTGAGTAAGTGTAGCTGGTGCCGAGGGTGCTGCTGAT